AAAAAAAAGTTTACAGCAGAATAGGCGTAATAGCGTAATTTGTTAATCCATTTGCATTCAGTATTATTGATATTTTTGGCCTCCAAACAGTGAAGCTAAATAATTATCAAAGCTTTCAAGCAAAGAATTTCCAATACAAATTCAGTAAGTTTGTTTGAATATAATTGGTTAAAGTACCATTATTAAAAAAACCTTAAAATTAGGTAGTATCAGTACAACAAATGCTAACTTTTAAGTCATTATGTTTAATCATTTCCCATAAGAGTCCGCCACCACGAATTTTTCCAAGTTCATGCCGGAAATTAATGCCTTCATATTCAGTAATATCTGCAAATAAAAAGAAAAAACATTTTGTTTCAAACACTTTAATTTGTCTGGAAACATAGAGGAACCAAGTATCTATAAAATTATGTTGTCTACAACAGTGAGAAACTAAAATTTATTTATTCATTTATTACTTTTTGAAGTAACAACCAATTATTATCTTTAAGGTCTCCAAACAATTTTTGTTCAGTTATTTTGAATTCTTAGTTTTTAGCAATGTTTTAAACCAGTGCAACAAATATTGTTCATTTAATTAGCACTTTTACCGTTATAAAAAAACATATAAGAAAAAATTCTTGAAAAAAAAAGGGGTGAAAAAGCTTATTTAAAGTTTTTGGGCTGTGTTTTTTCTTATTTAACACTTTAGAATTCTATTTGTGGCACCAAAATACAAATGACTTTTTACATTCTTTTCAACGGTCTTCTTTTATCCACCATTTCTTCAAGCTGATTGATTTCAACAGAAAATCATCAACTAGTAGTGCTTTTTGTTTCTACGTGTACAGACGACGCTGCGTTACCGCAGGAAAACGTATGAATAAAATAGAATATCCAGATCATTTTCAGTTGGTGGCCCTAATCTTATCTCAACCAACCAAGCCAATGAATTTTAATCTTAACAAATGTGAGTATTTGTCATTACAAGAAATAAGGTGGATGGGGTCAACATAATGGAACAGAATATCCTTCCACTGCTGCAAACAACTTCACGCCGCTTTATCGGACATTCAATTTTTACATTGTAGACGAAGTCGGTACCTTTCGATAATTTACAATTTTTGGGAAAATTTATTATTTTAAGTTTTATAACTTATAGTCAAACAACAAGAGAGTCTTTATCAAGGCTTATCAAGTTACTATCAATAAGTGAAAACTGCAGTGGTAATTCTTAGTAGTGTTTATAACAGTAAAAATTTCTTACTTATTCCATTTTGTTTATCTTCAACTAAGTTATTATAGTATGTCATCTTTTCGAATTGTTCATCCGTTACTGGTATTGTCATATTGTAAATTCTCTAGAAATTTCTCCAAAGCTTGAAGTATTTTTAGTAAAGTAATATAAAAAATTGAAAAATCGTAATAATTAAAAAAAATAAAATTACAGAGAAATATAAATTAAATTACTACAAAGGTTAAGTTATGTAAATCTAACTTCAATGTGAAAAGTATCTCGCCATCTCCATAAATTGTCAACTAAATCTGTTCGTTGTTTACAAATATTAGTCAACTCGTTCATAAATACCTGTAATTCCTCAACAATTCAGATTGCGCAAATTTTATGCAGGTAAAAAAAAAAATTTTATAAAAATCAAAAAACTAAAAGTTTGCTATGCTTTATTTACTGGTATCTGCAGTGATATACGCGAAAAAAAGTGTTAAAAATTTTTTCCTGCTTTAATTCAAAAAAAAACTTTTAAATTAGGTATTAAAATAAAGTATTGAAAATTTTAATAAACAGCACTTTTGTTTCATTTCGTAACTTAAGCATATCTGTGGTTTTTTCCGCTTGTTCCCAAAGCCAGTCTTGTCTCGGACATCGGCTGTCTGGATTCGCCACCTAAAATCGTACACCA